GTTTCAATTTAGAAAAATATATTCTCCATTGCGTTGGTAGACTTTTTCTGAAAACCATGTTAATTAACACAGTAGATCATTTATGTCTGGCGGGGAAGTCACGTTAATTGATGGTAACTAGTCCAAAGTGTATCAAACGCGTTTGCCGGGAACTAGCCCCTGCTTCTTTTCGAACTTCTCTGTACACTTTACCACTAAAATACTAGCTTTGTACACTTGTTAAGAGCTCGTTTGAGGAAACATGGCCCCCTAATTGCATGCACGGCCTATTAGCGCAAGCTATCGTTTCGATTGTAATACTTCGTTCCACGGCCATTATCGATGCCAAAATCGGCTTAATTTCCAGACATCAGGGAACTTTGGGAGAGAAAAGTAACTTACAGAGAACAGGCGCAAGTTTCGAAGCTGGCGACAGCCAGTTAGGATGAAAGGAAAGTCTTTTGTTGCGACGCAAAATTGTTGGCGTGGCTTCCAGTGTGCTTATGGCCAAATTCTTATGTATTTATAGGGAAAGGTACAAAAAGTGTTTGATCAGAGTGCGCAAAAATATACAAAACATCGAAAGTTGAGCACTTGTTATAATTAAACTGTGAATTAAATTTATGCAATTTCATATTTGGAAAATGAAATCTACGTAGGAATTCTCTTCGATTAATTAAATATTAAGTATTCAATACATGGAAGAAATGTTTACTTATAATTGGCAAGAGAAAATTTTATAATCTGTTTAGAACTTTATGAAGAAATCGTGACAAAGACATAAAGGTTGCTTCGAACGATTTGCCATTCAGGATAAAAATAACTCTCGATGGTGGACATAATTACTTACTATTAATACACAATTAAAAATATCACCTCTTCCTGCTGATCTAAGGTTAATATGAATGAAACGTTAAATTTATAACTGCACAAGCTTCCTGTCTTACATCATATTAAGGCCATTATCGTCTCGTTCACAATTTATATCCTCGTTACAGTGTTTTAATAAAGTGTTTCAAACAGCTTACGTTCATATTTCCACTTACAGAGCATATCGACTAACTTTTCGTATACTTTTAATAACTTGCGTTATAAATATTAATATTATTTATTTAAGAAATGATTCCATCATTTTAGAATTTAAACTTCATGCCATTACTTTACAGTTTTAAGGATTTCTCATGGGATTCATGGGATTTTCGTGACCGAATAACTCGTAAACGTATTATATTTCTTGGGAACTGGTTCGTTTTCATAGTTCACTTTCATCTCCGACAGTTCTGACTCAAATGACACAAGTTTTCCAAACGAGATAGACGCAAAGAATTTTTATGTTATCGAATAGAACGTTCGCCAAAACTGTCTACGGCATATATTGTCTCACGAAAGTATTTGGATACTTACTATAAAAAACTTTTTCGTCCATATTGTACATGTTATACAAAATATTTTGAAATTTCGTAATATTATATGAGAAAGATATATAATCATAATTAAGCATATAACAAATATCGAATATGGCTAATAAATCGTTTAAATACTTCCGTGTAATTTCTATGTATATTCCTTTCAGATCTGCTTCAAACTTTTCGAATATAATCATGATAATTAAAACTCATAACAGTGTATAAATATTTTAAATATTTTAAATAACTTACGCGAAATATATTCATAAAAAGATTTTTCCAACTGTTCAGATACTTTCATGAGTTACTGTGAGCTTTCTGGGCGAGCGTCAAGCAGCTCACTTTGTTTTCGTTATTATTAGAAACAGTGGCATCCAAATCTCGCGCCGTTCTGATCAATTTTTCTCGCATACAGCATTCTCAAGAAAAGGATGACCCTAGTATGTATTTTTCTTTTTTTTTTTTTTAAGAAGCTTTCACGAGAAGCTTCTTATCAACACGTGGTTGCTACGTGACGCGAAATTATCATCGGTAATTATCGAGGTCCGTCCGGATGGAAAACGATTCGCCTTTTTTCGTGGCCGTGAAAGTAAGCCGGAGCGGTTTTCATTCGGCTGTACAGAAATAAAGCTGCCAGGAAGCCGTACAAATTAATTAGCGGACAGATTTCTCGCAGCCAGTGAGAGCACACACGCGTTATTTGGAGCACTGAAAGTTTTCATTCTAATCTGATGATACGCGTGTTATGATTGATGTTCTTCGCTATATTGTCTTCCGTGCATTCATCGATGCGATGACGAATAATATTTGCATTGAAAGAGGAGAGTGTGCAGCGGGATGTTTTCTGGGTTGCATCATAAGGGAAAGAGCCTGCTAATAATTTGATATCGGTTGTATCCTCTTCGAAAATTGCGTAACTCGGAGATTGCGCATGAGAAAATAGGAAAGTAACGATGAATATGGATGTTAGAAACTGGCAGTTTTTTAGAGATAGATTTTTTTAAAAACGAGCAATAATTGTGACACATAATAATTGTAATACATAATTTAATACAATAGTTAATGGAGTTTTACAAATGTATAAACTATTTGAATAATGTTTCCATGCACTTAATAACAAGTTTATCGATGTATGATACATTTGTAATGATTAAATTACGATATGACAATTATATAAGTATGTGTTTTTTTAGATTGTGTGTATGAAAGATTTTAATTACATTCATTCAACATAGATCAATATTAAAATTCAAACATAATAAACTTTATATTCGTTACAACCATATTATATAGCAATACAAATTACATTTTCATTTCTCATTCATAATTTTTAAAATATTGTCTGTTATAATGATAATAATATAATTTATATATTTATCGTTTGATCAATGGTCACATCGATTAATAATTATTAACAATATCAATCTCATTTACAGAGTATTATAAATAGAAGTTAAAAGTTCGTCGTGTTTCCTTTCTTACAAATCATTTCCCGCGTTTTATATTGTCTTGTATCTACCTTCTTGTGTAATCATTTAACTCATCTGTTAAAAATAACAAGAAATAAGAACGACGACAATAACAATAACGATAATGCTAAAAATCATGCGATAAAAGCGAGAAATGTAATAGAAGCGGTAGAAGCAGAGGTTAGATTGCCGTATTCCTGAGCGCAGGGGTGTAATCGTTATTAATGCGGGCCTAGGTCACGGGCGACGGATCGTCTTTGGAGGCGGCTAGTTAGTTCGCAGGAAGGCCAGTGGCCGCGCTCGCGCTCACTATAAATAATCATGGCGCGGTGATGTCCAAGTATAGACCGTTGGGAGTTTGCCAGCCTGCGAGGAGGCTTCAGCTATTTTTGAGGCTGTCGCCGCTACGAGCGCTACAGCGCGCGATAGACGCTCTCTAATCAAAACTGCACGACCGAAGAACGACAGAGATGGCCGCTCTGTCTTTTCAGAACCACAGGCCTGCGCAACATGCTCCCACCTTGCATCCACCATTTCCCCACTCTTTATGTGTATACACCGATTACCGGTCTTTGCACGACCTTGGATAGAATTGATTTATCGCGTTAATTATCCTTACGCAGCGGGCCCACGTGTTTTTTCGTCAAATTCTTCTCGATTACGTTTGGCATTTCACTCGAATATCGCGCCACAATTAACAAACGTTATTGTCGATCATTCAATGCTTTATTTTAGTTGGATGATTTAAATTGATTTAAGATCTTAAATTATGGTACAATGTAGACGTGGTATGATATTAGAACGAATGATTTCTTCGTGGTATTATCTATATAGTATTTTACTATTTTATAATTTAACTTCGTTTTATAATATAGACTGTCTCGAGTTAAAGATCATTGTCAGTCGTTTTCAAGAGTACTGAACGACTCGATGTAAGGAGCAAAAACGGTAAACGATCGTTCAATTTTCAGCTTGCGACTTTTGCACGTATATGGAGGTGTTTTGAAACAACCGCCACGAGTGCTACATCACGTCAATACCTGCGCGACGCTAGACGCGCAGAAACTTTCTCCGTGGGTTAGCATTTCGTATACTACATTCAAACTAATTCTTCGTTCGATGTCAAATGCTTTGAAACTTTAATTGAATCTCATTGTTGCAAGCGATTAATAGAGTAGAACAATTACTTCCAGCATCTCGAAGGTTGCCCCGTACCGAGCGATCGTTTCGAAATTTATTCGAATAATTACGAAATACACCGCGAAGCTACAGCCCGTTCCGCTCACTCTTTGTTCAAATATGGTATAAGCGTCAAAGGGCGCTGCCGCAATCAGCCGTAATCGGCGAACTGGTCAGTGAAGTGTACGTCTGTCGTGAGAAGTGGGCGAGGTGTATTTGATTACGAGCGGTTCACCTAATTTCGCGTTGAAGGGTCCCATCATCGTGGCTCGTTGTTGTGTACGATTCGCCAGTAGTAAGTCTCGTTCTCAATTTTGAATGTTAATATTTCAAAGACGACTTTTAGCGTTTAGCGTGGGTTGCCGATTTGGCAGATGAGTTGTCAATGAAAATCGATCCCGAATTATCTGGGGCAAAGGGCATCAGCCGCATTGGACAGTTGCCGAATTTAAATGCAACTTGTCGATTTGCTGATCGTCCGATCAGGAACATTATCTGCGTGCACGCGTACGCGTAGTGATGAGCGTGTTCCGTGACGAAGTATCTCGCCTCTGATATTGTACGCGAAAAAACTGTAACTCATCGTCTCCGCTTGCATCGATTCTGCGATCGTTCGTCAACCGCCACTGTTTTTGTCATTCATTTGTCCGAGCCATTCAGTTCAGTGAATTTCACGCGTGTCTGGTTATGCGAATCTAAGGAGAGTGAAACTAATCATTAATAAATAATACAAGACTTCGGTCAATTCAAGGAATTCGATCAATTCTCTGTCTATTTCTTAATCAGTATCCATAGGAATCGATATTCTGTGTTCTTTTATGATGCGGATTGTAGTATTAGAATACTAATATAGTTTGGTAGTAGTAGAGACAGTTCTATGGCATTAGATAGTTACACTAATAAATCAGTCAATAAAATGTCACGGAGGTACTCTGTAGTTGACCAAGAACCATGGGAAACTTTCCAGACTTCTTCATCAACCAAAACAACCACTATGACAACTGCAGCAAAGCTGTATGGCAAGGACTTGAGTGAATATGATGATGTGGATGTGGACGACCTATTGGCACAACTGACCCCAGAAGAAATCAACATATTAGCAAAGGAAGTGGATCCTGATGTGAGAGAATCAGAATTATCTTTGCTATCTTTAAGATGGTTGATAAAATGGTTGATATAAATACATTCTATCTTATTTATTATAGGATAGCTTTATGCCACCATCGGAACGTTGTAGCTATGAATGTGACAAGAGTCCTACAGGACCGCTAAATCGTAAGAAACTTATTGAACACATTAACAAACAAGCTTTAGAAACACCAGATAGGCCAGAATTGAAGCCTTATGTACCTGGTGTAATAAGAGGCAAAAAGGTATTATTTTATTTACAATAGGTTTATAGGTTAAAAACTATTATATATATATATATATATATTTTTGTATATATTTTAGTGGGTTCCACCTCCTCAAGAAAGTGCAAAAGAAAAAGCAGTAGATGAGCAAATTGCCATTGATCTTGGAGAAGAATATGAGCAAGCATTGTCTAATGCTACTCAGGAAGAAATTATTGATCTTGCTGGTAAATATAAATTTTTAGGATAGAATGATATAAGTTTTGGTTAAAATATATACTTTGATATTATATTTAATACAAACTTCTTACATGCAGCTATTCTTGGATTTCATTCCATGATGAACCAAGATCAGTATCATGCTTCTCTATTAAATTCTGGTCAACCTGTTGGATTGGGTTGGGATGGTGTAACAAAAGCTAGTCAACCAAAACCTTATCCAATGGAGCCACCTAATGACACAGATGTTGACGCTACTATAAAACAAGTACGAGAAGACGATGCTTCGCTAATTGATCTAAATTGGAATAACATTAAAGTGAGTATATGAAGATTATGATTTTACAATTTTATACAAACAGAAATTTTGATATATACATTGCTATATATTTATATTAATCTATTATTTTGTAGAATATATCTGACGAGAAGTTTATTCAATTATTTGAAGGATTGGAAATAAATACACATCTCGAATCCTTGAGTTTGACAAATGTGGGACTCACTGATAAGACTGCACAAAGGTTGGCAGATGCCTTAGAGAAAAATTCTACTCTCAGGGTACTCAAGTTAGTACTATACTTTCTGTCCCATTTATATCAATAATCTTTATTAGATATGATATACTAAACCCTAATTTTTTAGTGTGGAAACAAACTTTATAAGTCCAGCTGTGATAGTGAGGCTCATCAGGGCACTCCTTAAAACGAAGTCAATAGAAGAATTTCGATGTTCGAATCAGGTAAAATATAATTAAAATTTTATATCCTTATATCCGGCACTTAAATGTAACAAATCTTTTGTAATTATTAATATATTGTGTTTTATACTTTTTTCTATTGTCTAGAGATCACAGGTATTGGGAAATAAAATTGAAATGGAAATTACACAATTGGTCGAACAGAATCCGACATTGCTCCGACTTGGTCTTCATTTGGAATTTAATGACGCTAGACATCGCGTGGCTGCACATTTACAACGCAACATTGATAGGAGTAAGTAGAAATAATACATTTAAAAAAAAAATCTATGTAAGTCTTAATTTCGGGCATACTAAAGTAATTTTTTATGGAGGGTCTATAAAAAATTTCATATTGTTAAATAAAAAATTCTATATTTTTCTGTATGTTTCTATATATAAAAACTATTGATAAGATATATCAATCATTAATCATTTAAGCGATAATATAATAATCTTAAGTGGCAACGTTTCACTTTTGATATAACATTACAATTGCATCAGAGATATCTCTGTTAAATAATCTGAATAATATTCTTTCCCAGGTATATTATATTTAAGATGTCATTTCATGTGTCTCAAATATTCATTTATAACGAAAAAAATTTTTTACAGATTTATTTATCCAGAGATATGTGCCACATTGGAATTGTATTTTCTTTTTTAATTCGAACAATTATTCTTATATTCTAAAGAGACGCGATTTTCCTCTTTGTCCAAGCGATATTCATACTCTTAATTTTTCGTTTAGATGGGAGCAATTGTATGGGGGACCATGGAGATTATATGACGAAATGCTTCTAACTCTTCCGAATCTGCTTCGTAGTTTTTCATAGCGCTTTATTAGCACATCATCATTCATCCATTCATCCCGCTAAACTCATTTATTATTTTTCTAGCTAGTGATATAGAGGTAATTATGAGTGTACCCATTTGAAATCGATATTTCTCTATACCTTTAACAATTTGTGCACTCTAACAACTTCTTGGAGAGTTCCATTCTATTTCTCATACTAAAAGGATGTTGTACCTAGAAAGTTCATCGACGATACTTTTGAACTGTTTTCAATTTTCAGTCAAATACAGAACCAAAGATTAAAAGTACATGAGAATTCGATTTGACATAAGTCTGTTTAAGTCGCGTTTATTTTCCATTGTTTATATGTAGCTTATTTAATATTGATAAGCAACGAAGCAGAAAAGAAATCTATGATTCATCCTTTTGTGTAGTTTCCTTCATTTAATTTACTGAATGGAACGATTGATAATAGCATTAATTTAAGAAGCATAGTTTAGCATAACTTTTGTTCTGTTACATCATACTCTATGACGCAATACCAGTTCCAGATATAAATCAATAAATCAGAAACGAATATAATCACTCGACAATAAATTATTCTAGGTTCAAATCTTGTTTTACATTTACCTCGCAGCATGCCTATCTTCCACACGTTTTTCATCCAATGCAAGCTTTTTATCTTTTTCGTTTTATCATTCTCACGTCCATTTCATGTAAATCATTGAAAATACTTCGCGCGGACATACGAAACTCCTGCATTGGTTTATATTTTGCTTGAAACTCAGTCTACAAAATTGCTATAATAATATTCATAATTTAACGAGCTGTTTATTTTGTTAGTCTGTCGAGTGCAACGCGCTAAGCTAGAGGCCGGTGAACTTCCGAAAAGTTTCGTTGTCCCAGTAGGTGTACCAAACGGAACGTAGCGCTGATTTCTACAGCGCAGTGAGTAGTATTTGTCAAACGAAAGTATTGGAAACTTGTTTTTCATGCCTGATTTTTTTGTTTCTTTGGTCCACGTACAACTTTTGTGATGACGTTGAATGTAAATGAATGACCAGATTAAACGATATTCCATACTCGAAAATTATTTGCCTGTGATCGTTCACTTGTTAAATGTATTTTGTACCGGTTTGATTAATTCTTTTCGTGAGTAGATCTTGGTCCAACGTGTGATTGTTCTTAAAATAATTTTTAAATCAATATTTGTATGTCCTCTGTGTTAGTAAAAAAGAATATTATCAGTACTATTAATAAGAAAAATAAATCAAGTAATCACGAACATTAGAGTGATAATTCTATTCATTTGATATTTAATATTGTAACGGTATTATCATTATAAATATCAGTTGTACAAATTGTTACAGTGATCATACCTATGAAACAAAAAAACAGAAATTTCAATGTTAAATTCAGTGCATTGTTAATTAGATAGCAATTACTCTTTCGTACGTACATTATTATTAACATTCATACATCCTTCGCACGAATTTTATTTTAAGTTGCTCGCATTGTCTCATCCCTTATTTCAACCTGTTGCACACATCTGCTAAAGCGATAAGACCGAACTATAGTACAGGAAACATAACAAAGCTATTCGAACACGAATCTTGGACATATCTCGGATCATATTTACAGGCGGAGTTCCTAAGTTAACGTGCATCAATTGTCCACAGTCTATTCCGCAATTTATGGTTTCATAGTCGTGTAGATGTTCGTCACATAACATTTAGATTGATTGCAGTGATTACGATGATGAGCCGAGAGGATTATGATGGCGTACCACGCCTATCCTAATTGATCAGAGACCTCGAAATGATCAGTTAATAACCAATGTTATTAGTTGTCCATTTGTATTAAATCTGCTACAGTTTTCAAACTTTTACATTCCAATCTTGTTCCAAAGAATAAAAAAAATTTCTAATATATATTAAAGGAGAGACTTTAACGAGACTGTTAACAATGTCTTATATTTTATTGTCTTATATTTTATATTTTATTATATTAAAATAAGCAAAAGAATCGCATACAGAGTGTAGCAGAGTTAATAACAATGGGGAAGGCGATCTGGATCGTTTCGATTTCTCCAAGTTGTCACAAAGAATGGAATTAGTTTGTAATGCAAACGATTTTACCACCCACCGATATGAGACTCCACGAGTCAGAGCTGCGACGTATACTTACGACACCTCTATTCTTTCCCAACAGTACGGAAAGACCTAACGCTGCGGCTACAGTTCCGATTCTTTAACATGAACCACAGGAAACCTGCCTTGATTCAATGAAAGGTAGCTACACCCTTAAGCGGTGGTCGATCAACAGATTGATGCTGTTCGCGTTTCTCTTGCCGCAAGTCTTAACTGCTCTTGTTACTTTGCAGCTTCACTAACGTTGCTTTCCGATAGAATGCAAGGTTCTGTACGCTTGAGAGGACGGCGGGATTAGTGTAAAAGCGATTTTTGGCTACGAACGATTTTTCACGGTTGTCTGAGAGGCCTCTAATTTTTTGGAAGATCATGTTTCATGTGATCCCGTGGCGCGGATGAAGATTAATTTATTACATCGTCTTAATTTAAAATATTGTCTATAGTATTAGTGTGTATATAATTAGTGTCTATAGTATCTAATGTGTATATAATTTGGCAGTTTCTTCGCATATATTACGATCATAGTATATATTCATAAACTGTGCTATAATTGAGGATAGTTTGATTTTAAATCCATAGATAACTTTAACGATAGTAGTAGAATTCTAAAATTTATTTATTTCGAAGTATTTGTAATTGATTTTTGGTATCCTTCGCAAATTCACGGTGATGTAACTTTCACACAAAGAGGAAAGAATTTCTCCAGTAAATATAGAGATTTGTAAACGCATATTGAGTTACGTATAAAAGAAGTTGCGTATCATCGAAATTGACAACGAACGACCGTGTCAAACGGGATCTTACGGAACAAGGGATTTACCCCCATCGTTTCACCGGTTAGCATCTCGTTCGTAATGTATCACGACACGTTAGTTCGTAATGAAAGTCGAAAACCGAGTTTTGCGCTTGATCTGACACGTCGTTAACTGCAAATGGTGTTTGTAGACGAGCTTTAACTCTAGTCGACGGCCTCGCTGCCAGGATTTAGGTGCACATCCTATCAAACCCGATGAAGTCGTGACGCGTTAATTTCCACGCAAGCTTCCAGAAGCTCGATTCGCCTTGCGTGACGTCCTCTCGACGTTAAATGTCGAGCGGCAAACGGTTTAACGTGTGACGACGTGCCTAGTGATGGGATCAAGCGTATCGCGAGCAACGTGTTAAAGTCTAATGAAGCATTTAACTAATTGCCTTCGAATTTTGCCTCCGTCGACGGATACGTGTGATACGAAGTTAATTCTATTCGTGGAAGAAAATTGTGTCATTTGTTGCTACATTTTGTAGAGGGTGTGAAGTATTTTCTGGTTAATGTTCAGATTATTGTGCGTTGTAGAATAGGATATTTCTGAATTATATTTCATATCTAGTGTAGCGTATGATGCTCTTTATAACACGTTGAAATAATTCTGTGTAGTATAAATTATTTTTTTTTCACTACTAAACGTTTATTTCAGTTGATTAGTATATGAGCTATTTGATTGAGTATATAATTTTATAAAAATTATAAAAAGTTCACATTACCACGTAGTTTTCGATAGCTATTTCAACAATCCCATCACTAAATACATGCTGTCAGCCAAAAGAACGAGATATATAATTATGATCAAATCTATGGTAATTAAATTGTACCTCTAATTAAGAGCAATTAACAACTATGATTTAATAGTTGATTAAGACGATCCGACACAAATAGTATTGTAGAGTAATTTAACAACCACCGACTTCTAATTTACATCTATATATATTAAAATAATTACAATTAAAATCTAAACAAATATACACAATCATTCAATTAAGAATACTTGCATTATAAACAATGTTTAGCCATCCTAATATTAAAATTATTATCATAAAATTATATTTTAATAATATACTATTATATTTTAATAATATAATATTATATTATCATAAAATATAAATTATCATTTATATTTACGAGTCTTTTAATTTTTTAATCTGCCCAATTTCTTTCATGCCCAGATTTACACTGTAATTTATGACATTGTGGTGTTTCGTAATATTCAAAAAAAAGTATACTCACGTAAGTCTAAGGCTCACACTTTTGGCTGATAGCGTATGCCCCGCGATAGTGTATCTACCCTACACACTGGTACATGGTGGTAGGTTGGGATCGCGTTGAAACTGTTCCGTTGGATCAACCGCGAACTGCTCCCGATAAAGTTTTTCCCTCGCGCGAAGGTACAACTCAATTAACCGGTCGTTTGGCGGAAAGTTCGTAGCCAGATCGCCGCTTTACAGTTCAGATTAGCTGTTTGCGTAGGAATATGGGAGTAATTTCTTCTCGTCACGCGAATAACTTTCCAACTTGGCCTTAGCGGGACACACAGTTTTTTTTTTTTTTTTTGTCTAAAAGCCAGTGAGAAGTTTTTAAAGTCGCGTTTTTTCCCTTCCCCCTTTTCTCTCTTTTTTTTTTTTTTTTTTTTTCGCCGTTTTTTTTTTTTTTTTTTTTTTTTTTTTTATCGCACATATACGCATATCTGGCTGAAAAATAACGGGACTCGCATTCGTATTTTTAAATTGCGCTGCACGAGCTTCTGAGAAACGAAGGCGATCAACTTTTTATTAATCTCTTAAGTTTTAATTTACTTTCAATTCTCATAACTTAATTTTTAATTTTATTAATGTGTTAATTGTACATTTCGAGCGACGATCAGTGAAATAAAGTTCAATATTGTATGTTATTATATTATTGATAGCGTACGTGAGAATATTTAGCTTTTATACTAGATATTTCTTTATCAACAGTTGTATATCGTATTTGCTCGTTGCTCTTCTCAAAATGTATATTATTCGCGCCATTTGCTTTTTAAGCTTACCAACTTGAACAAGTATATGAACGTAATACAATATACCTGTACATTATAATATAATTATACGACACAATTCATTTTTTTACACAGAAACTTTACAAAATTTAATAATAGAAATCACACGCCGGCAATCAACACTTGCTCGACACTATTTTAACGTCACTTACACGTCATAAACCTTCTCCTCGTCATACTTTGAATACCGAATCAAAAAGAAAAGTTCGTAGTATTAATAATACCGTTACTGTTAAATGCTACTTCTATAGAGCCACGAGGACGAAGTCCATTCGATTTATCAGCTTTCATCGGTTCCGTGATTTATGATGTTCGTGAAACGATGAGTTAAAGGTGCCGGCGTTGATCCGATGATAAGCAGAATGATGTATGAGATCGTCTTTCGGTTGGTTCATCTTCCTGATCCTCTGTATTTCGCGCACGACCGTTGTAAGTGAAGCAATAACGATCAATGCCACGAGAGTCGTTTTGCTCCTTTACTTTTTGTAGCCAGAAATCGTCTGTACGTTTTGGTTCACTAAATAAATTCTTCGATTCACCCGGCAGTGTCCGATGTCATTAATCTTCTCGAGTGAGGACGTACGAAGACAGAGACGTTGAAGAGTAATTGAGGAATGTAACCTTGGAAATTGTTAAATTTTACTGTGATGAATGTTGTTTGTCCTTTTTTTTTTTTTAGTTTCTTCACTATTATTTTGAAACAAAAACGGTGCCTGTATAATGAACCGAGATTGAATTAAACCAAGAGTGTTAAAATAAATTTTAGGGTTATTTTGACCATGTGACTAAAGATCGATGATTTATCGACAAAATTCCGCGTCCTTTATAGAATTTTCTTTAGCGCGCAATAGTCAATCATTTTAATTTTTTCGCAATTAAAAACAATTGCAAAATAAATACAAGTTTGCATAAAAATATAAATATTAATATCATAACTTGTTTAATCTACATAAAATGCACGAATGGATTAAAATTTCTTTTTGTCAATTATTGTTAAACAGGTCTCGCATATTTTTACCGAAATTAATATTAATTTTCATTTAGATGGAGACATAACCATCGTGTAACTCGATTAATTTCGTTTGAACTGTGTTT